CGGATGACATCTCGGAGATGGTCGGAAGGAGCTGATCGTAAAGACGAACTCCTTCTGTTGACTCGGATAATATGCGAAACACCTGGAATAAGAAAAATTTTTTTAAAAATAAGCATAATATATTTGTACATGTTCTAGGTATTCGGTTCTAACTACAGGGGCGAACAGAAACACTCGTAGAATTCTATTTTGCTGGTTGGTGTAGGTAGGTCACCACGAGGTCAGGTCTTATATAGCGGAGATAAGCGTGGCTTAATAGTTGACCTAGACCACGACGCATACGCTGGGGAATTCGCGGGGTCGGCTACTCTGCGACAAACAGCGTTTGTAGGGGAGGAATCCACTACGATACTCCCCCCTTCCCTCCAGGAGACTTGTTGTCTGCAGGGTTGCATGGCACATGCGAGGCAAAACGGCGGTGCATGCGAGACATAACGGCGAGGGCGTGAAAGACCCGGCCGCTAGGGGAGACAACTGTCTCGAGTCTAGACACACGAGATCTGTGGGAGAAAAAGGGTGTGTGGGGGCGATGAATGTTGTGCTTCTGTCGCTGCAGGGGCAGCGTCCTCATGATCACTGGGTCAGGGGCGACGTCAGGAGGAGGGTCTATAATAGGAGCAGGGTCTACAACAGCAGGTGGGAGTGCCGGAGGGAAAAAAACAACGGTGTGTGGGGGCGACGAATGCTGTGCTTCCCTCTCGGCAGGTACAGAGTCCTCAGATGCGCCTGCTGGGGTCGATAGGACGTGGTGCTTGGGGCAGGAAGAGGAGCTGGTGTCTGCTTAGAGTAGCAGAGCTGCTCTAGGGTGTCTAACCTGAGGTGTAGAGACAGTACCTGTAGAGCCGATGAGAGCTGCCTCTGTGTGGATAAGCCAGTCTTCCATGTTGCTTGAAGACTGGGAGAGTGATCGGTTTCTCCTCCATCCTGTGTGAGTGCGAATCTCCGGGGTCACCATTTGTGGGGTTATGAGATATTGGTTGGAGAAAGGAAACTCACAATGTGCTCTCTGTATACATATTGTATTGGATGTACAGAGCAGCTTGGTGCTGGGAAGTGGCAGGTTGGTTACAAGCGTGATGTACAGAGATCTGGTTGGTGAGGGTGCTCAGAGGAGGACCAGCTTGTGGCTCGCCGACGGAAGCGAGGGCCGCCAGGCAGGAGCGGAGGAGGTGGTGTAGGTAGAAAGAGGTAGGTCACCACGAGATTAGGTCTTATATAGCGGAGGTAGCCCACTACAATACAACAAGACGGCACTCCCTACTCTATCAACAACCGAGCCCTCAGGCGACATGTAGCAGCTTCCATATGTCGCCAGGCACATTATCTAAGCGTGTGGGACATAACAAATGCATTGCCACATGCTGCTGGCTAGGCTAAATAAGTAGTATATATATAAATGGAATACATAATATACATACAACATACACATATAACCCCCCCCCCTCTATACGCTCATAGCAAAGTCTTGAGCGGACCTTTTCTTTTGGATCCGTTCTGAGCGTCGAGGGACTTGATCACTGGGGAGGACACAGGACTCAACACTGGTGACGGGGTCAGCAGAAGGCGTTGTTACGGGGCGGAGAAAACGGCGGTTACCTCCACCACACGCGACCACTGGGTAACAGCACCTGGTAGTCCCGTGATCTACCGAGACCCATGACTACGCCCACTTTGTCCTAACGTAGGGAGATAAGGTCCTGAACACGGACTTGGGTGCCGACACTCAACTTGGGGAGAGAACGGGCGTGGTAGTATTAGCGGGCGACGACGTCACGAACTCGTTCGGCGGCCGCAATCCTCTGTCTTAACCTGCCACTCCTTGGAGAAGGACTGAGCGTGAGCAGGGATACAAGACCTGGGCAGGGGAGCATCCGGTGTAGCTGGGTTGTTGCGGAGTTCGAAGAGACCCCGGTCGAAGGCCTCGCAGTTGAGGATATTCCCAGAAGTGGCCACTTTGAGGATGAGGTGCTTCAGGGATTTGACAACAGCCTCGGCGTGGCCGTTGGACTGCGGGTAATGGGACGGTGACAACACCTGCCGGACTCCCCGTCGCTCGATGAACGCAGCAAAGTCCCGGCTTGTGAACTGCAGCCCTCCGTCGGTGGAGGTGGGGGAGAGGAGGTGGGAGAGTGCAAGTAGGGGAGTGCAGGTGAGGGAGTGGAGGTGTGGGAGTGGAGGTGGGAGGAGTGCAAGTAGGGAAGTGGAGGTGGGGGAGTGGAGGTGGGGTAGTGGAGGTAGGGGAGTGGAGGTGGGGGAGTGGAGGTGGGGGGGAGTGGAGGTGGGGGGAGTGGAGGTGGGGGAGAGTGGAGGTGGGGGGAGGGGAGTGGAGGTGGAGGTGGGGGGGAGTGGAGGTGGGGAAGTACAGGTGGAGGTGGGGAAGTACAGGTGGAGGGGAGGGACCAAACGGGGTCACGGTACTTCGGACGGGAAGCACCTAATACTCGAAAAGCGTTACGAGGGACAGACCATCTACGTGTCGCATACACTCCCGGGTCCTTCTCGTACGGTATTTTGGTCTCCGTTAATGACGTTTCTTCGTCCGGTTGGGACACGTGACCTAGGTGCATCCTCCTACATTTAGTATTCACTTTTATCTTAAGAGCCATTCTTTTGACCTCTCCTGAACCTGACAGTCTGTTTGAGTCCCAATTTCCCTAAAGAACTTAAGTGTTGTCCCAAAATACTGGTACAGAGAAGTTAATATCGTATTGTCCCGGAGTACGATGATAACCACATAGTCATGATGAAGGTTGTACGACATGGTTGAGAAAATATCACTTATTAAATCAGAAAATATTTGACATCTTCAGGGTTGATTTCATACTGAAGGAATAAAGATGCTTTCATTATAGTACAGTAAACTCCCTCTAGCCCGGACTCGCTTAATCTAGATCCTCTTGAAAACCGGCCTGGGGTCCAGCACCGGACACAAGTATCCCCGACCAAAATCCAGATAGCACGGGGGAAAGTTGATGTAATCGGGGGTTCCAACTGTGGTGGCACAGAAGGGTAACCATGTCATTAGCAGTGACAACTGAAAAATCACACTTCTCATCCACTTAAATAACAAACAACAATTCATCTATGACAATACTCATTGCAGAATCAGTAGCTGTGACGTGTAATATTTTGTTATTTGATCACTAACATAAAATATGATACTATAGGTATACAAACAATTCACTTACTGGAATTTGCATCTAAAAATTAAATTATTTACCTATTATACAGTACAGTACAGCATTGATTACTGTCAAAATAACAATATTTTGAAGTTGCACTCAATTCACATAAAATTTCCCACTTTTTCCAGCCTCCGTTAAAATTGTTTGCCATTTCCAGACCAGTAGACACCCTCATCATCCAACTGAGTACAATTTAATCAATGCATCACAACATGATTTCATGGATAGAATATTCTGCTGACAAACTTAAGTCATTTTCATTGAATTTTTAACAGACCACATGGACCAAGGTCTACCAGTGGATGTGTTGTACGGTCAGTCAAAAGGAACGAGTTTCTGACTCGACTGTCTCTCGTTTGATGCGGGTGTGCGGTTTCATTTTATTTGGGGTTCAACAAACTTTTTGACCATGGATGTATGTGGATTTCTCTAGGGCACTTGATAAAGTCTCACATCCACTACAAGCTGGCCAAGTTCTCATGTTGAACAAATATAAGGAAATACTACTTTACACAGTCTGCCAGCACAAGCTGTGGAATCAAGAACAGTACTGGACTACAAAAGAAACCTTGACAAAATTATCAAGAACAATGCAGGGATCTTACATAACCCACTGGTCTCCATCCCTTGGCATAGCCACCTCTATTGGGTGGCCATTAGATAAAAACAGTCTCAAAGGAATACACGTGTAAAAAAACACAAGTGTTACCGCCACAGTAAGATAAACTAGAAGAGACAGAAAGAGGGATGATAAACTAGGCGGGAGAGAACGGATATAGTGTTGACGACGAATTAGCCGAGGTGCTTCAATACGAAACGGATGGCCCTCGAGGGTAGTCCACCGATTTCTACGGGACAGACGACACGTCGGTTCGGACCACTAGACCCTAAGACGTGAGCGATCGTGAAGTATTAGAATCTGCCAAGAAACTCTAAATAACTTTAATAAGTATATTTATGTACTGTAATTTGATCTGATGTATCAACAGTTATAAAACGCGAGTTATATTTAAGATGTTAACAGGCTATGTACTGTACATAGGTTGTATTATTCATACTATGTATCCCGAGATAACAGCATTTGTTATATGAGAATTGTTCTTTGACCGATTAAGTGGTCTCCCAAATACAGGAACTACAGGAAAGTCTGGATAAGGTTCCAAGATCATTGGTCTCCCAAGAAGATAAATAACTGGATGACATGACAACCCAGCAGCCACACGTAGCGTCAACAAGCAGTAGTGATGATAAGCCTGAAGAGCCAAGTGAAAAGATACTGTGGTTAAAGTGTTTTTTATTTATTTGTGGTGTGGTAGTAACGGGTTGTGTTATATACTAATTGTGGGATAAGATCTGATGATCGATTGCGATAATTACACCCCTGGGGAAGCAACAATTAAGTCTGGGATTAGCACAAGTAAAGAAATAAGCCCTGGCTTCTCTTGCCTTACACATCCAGTATATAGTGTACATCCAAAGTGCATTTCTACACCCAAGTCTAAACAATAATGTGTACTGAACAACTTCCCTTGTTCATGCTCATCTTTCCCTCTTCTGTTGTTCTGTCAGTGAATATATTACTTTCATTGATCTCTCACTTAAAATATTATTCCCTCACCTGACACAACCTCTCCCGGATATCTGAAGAAAAAAATATCTCTGCCTTTATATGCCTTTCGGTAGTGTGCATACAAGACCGATGCATATAATTCACAATTCAACACACACACACACATACAGATTGATATTCTGAATTATGTGACACAATCGTCTTCATAAGCGAGTATTGTCCTTCTACTCTCACACACACACAGGTTGGATCAACAGCATGGAAATCCTTCATGAGTCAAGCGTGTACAAGGATTCCAGGCAGCCTACAAGACCTAAAGACTCTGGTTGTGAGGCATCCTCTTGGTCGTCTGGTTTCAGCTTACAAGTAAGTTGGTGAAACCTTGGTAATAAGAGTTAGCTTGTCTGTACAGCCTAAGAATAAGTTTCATCCAATCAGAGTGTTGTTTACTTGTACGCTTCACCATTGTCTACTCATGACTCACGAAAATATTTTGAGTTCATACTTATAGTTTTCTCAGTTGATATGGTATAAAAGTTTCATTATCGGTAACTATCATCATTAAGATTCAAATGTGATGGCTCTCTTGATTTTTAATTGTTGATGACTTAGTGTATTTACTAACCTAGAATACGCTCTTCATAAATATATAATAACTTCAACAACATTGTTCTTTCATTATAGAGACAAGTACCTAAATGGGTCTCCACTTAATACCTACGACAAGGACTACAGGAAAGTAACGGGAAGTCATCAGACGTGGAATGATAGATGGCAGGAATACTGGCTTCCAGCTCTCATACACAAAGGATCCGTCGCACCTTCCCCTCAGTACCTCACAACACTAAAAAAGGTTTCGCAGGCATATGGCTTTCTGACAGGGAAGCGTTTTGGGACGTTTAGCCGCCATCGTCTTAATGAAACCAAGAAAGCATCGTCTAACCCCGAGAGAAAGTTTATAACGTTAGCCAAGAAGATGCTGACAGTAGGCAAACACGTTGGTGTCGTTGCTGCTGTCAACATTGGGTACTCCGCGACGGAACAAAGTAAACTAAAGAAGTATTTCAGTAACGCCTCCTTCACTATGGCAGAGTTCCTTGAGCACGTATTATGGACCAGGGACGTGGACCTGTTGGACCATCACTGGACCCCCATTAGCCAACTGTGTGGTCCATGTACAGCTGACTACAAGTACATCGTGCGGCATGAGAACCCCAAGGAAGCGGAGTACCTTCTGGGCCTCCTGCACCTTCAGGAAAACACCATTCCGAGGAAACACAAATCCATCGGAGCATTACATGATAAGTCTGACCTTCAGTACTTTGAAGACGTCCCCAAAGACTTAATGGCCATAATTATTGATATGTATAAACAAGACTTTGATTTGTTCAGTTATGATAAAATCAGTAAATAAAGTAAGGAAAATATAGATATAGCAGACAAGAAGATAAGGTGAAAAAAAGAACAATTTTAACATCTGTATTGTTAACTTCTCTGACCCACTCACTGCAGTACACAGATAAAAACAACAGGTTAATAAGATGAGAATTAAAACGCCATCTACATACAGTACATAGCGCCGGCACAGTGGTCACCAACCCTCCACAGTTCCTGATAATAGAGACTGTGTTGGCCACTAAGGAGAACCCTTTCTCAGTAAACAACGGGACTTCCTTGAACCTTTTCTGTTAAGTAAATTTCCTTTCGTCTTCATAGACCATTTTCTGTGATCTTGTCATGTATGAATTTCGTGTTTTATCATATTTCTGATATTGACATTAAAAAAATTATTTAGCTAGAAAAATACAGACGCTGTGCAAAGCGGACAATGACAACGTAGACATGACTGAGCCACCATGTTTACTAGTATCATACAGTGTAGTCTTCACTTTAGGTGTATTTAATCTTATGTTTGGTTAGGTTAGGTACTGAGTTCGTGTTTATTGTGTTATGCCATAACTTAGCAACTTTCTTTGATGGAAGCAACTTCCGGGGACGAGATATTTGCCGGTGTCCAAACGACTTTCTCAAACACAGAAAAATCCCTTGTCCTCGGATTTCTTTTTTTCGGTTACCGGGAAAAGTTTCCCAGAGACTAAACAACACAGACAGACACTAGCCCACATCCCAGAATGTTTCTGGGTGCTGGGGAAAGATTTCCGGGAGTCTAAACTACCGGAGTCCGTATAAGCAGTTCTTCTTAAGTTAGAAATTCCATTTCTTTACTAGAATAATCCCGAATTGTTTATCTAAAAGCTTAGTTAAATAAATATAATTAAAAAACTACAAATCTTTGATACGGTGTTACAACGACGACGGGTATTTCCCAGTCACACTGAGCTGTGGGGGTCTCCTGTTACTGAACAGACATGATGCAATGTCAGGTGGAGGTAGGGTGGACGATGAGTGGTCTCAAAATACTGACCTTCTGATGCAATGTCAGGTCACCCACAGTTAGGTCTCATGACCTGACAATGTCTTGAATAAACACAAAAGCTAAGGTGCTCCAGTGTTTCCCACTTACAGTACAGTACTGTATAAGACATCACCAATTCCCAACAAGTGGACAGGGCTTTGAAGTAGATGGAGAATGTGGGGTAAGATACTAAAAATAACAAACCTTTGAAAACCTGACCTAACCTTCCTTAATCTATAGAAAGGTTAAAAATCACTTTCAAGTTCATAGATCCCCTCCCCACCTGAACACGGAAAACTTCAACACATTAAACAACAACAATAAGGTGCTGTACGTGCTTTATAGTTTTAGGATTTTTATAGGTTCAGGTCAGGTCAGGTTTTCAAAGGTTCGTTTATTGTTCTTTTTAGTATTTTACTCCACATTTTCCCTCTTTCAAACCCTTCTCCACTTTGAGCAACTACCGTAATATTATTGGTACTTTTATCGGCTAAAATACTCGAAAAATATAATACTGTACTCACAATACATTGTCAATCCAAATAAGTGATTAACAACATACTGAGCTGTACTATAGAATTTGAATATGAAAATTGCAACTACTGAATTTATATGCTATTTAATATTAATTTTTGATTCACATTACTCTCCAAGATTATGCACAGAATCAACAGGACTGAATTACATTTCCCCAAAGTACTGTATAAAGGAGCCCAATCATCTGTGTCTTCTCCCTTCATATTTCCCTGGATGACGATAATCTCGGTTCTGCGATTATTCAGTCCAAGTTTTCTCCAAGCCATCCAAATCTTAATACGTATCAGACATTAAAGATTTCATTATCATCGGCATAGAAAATAGGCAACACCCCGAGCATCTACGGACATCCGGCAGAGATGCAAGACTACTGGTGTAGACTGTAAACACAAGTGGTCCCAAAACTGATGTCTGTGGGACTCCAAACTGCAAAGGGACAGGATCTGCAATGGTTCCACCAATCATCACACACTGAGATCTCTCTAACAAATAGGACTCAACCAGTGAAATATATGACCTCACTTTACCTGGTGACATCACGAGATCTGAGGTTGACAAGTTCCACAACAATTTAAATGAGTTACTTAATACACAAAGGCAGAACATACTATACAAAAAACACGGATAGATAATTATTTAAAGAATATTATTGGACAAAGAACGGCTGAAGTTTGCCTCCGAGATCATTATAAGGAATTGGCCAGTAGGGTTAAGACTGAGATAAGAAAAGCAAAGAACTGAAGGTATCAGGGGAGGCAAAGTCAAACCCAAGAGATTCTTCCAAATGTATCACACTAAAACACGTGACAATATTGGACCAATACAGTCAGATACTGGCAGGCTAACGACAGGGAACCGAGCAATAATCTGAAGATATTTTTCAACAGTTTTCGTCATCGAAACTTTAAACATGATACCCGAGGCACCGACTATATACAGAAATAGTGAAGAAAGTAGATCAAGCAAGATAGGAGTGACTAGTAACTATGTTAGTAAACAAACAGACAAGTTAAACCTAAGAAGTCGGCAGTTCCCGATGAGATATTTGCCAGAGTATTAAAGGAATGTAAGCAAGAACTTAGTACACCCAGTCCTAGCTTAATGTTGCCCCACACAATGCTGTTTCGTTATAACGTTCCTACTCTTTAGATACCCACGATTCCGACCAATTCAGTATAACGTTGTCACCCAACACGGGCTACTTTACATGGCGCGCCACCCTCTCTCACCTCGGTGTGCTACGCTCTCTTGCGGAGCATCACAGCGTCCCCGAGTGTTTTCTCCCCAGTCATTGTTAAGCTTCCACAGCGTACGTGTGTGCTTAAGTACCCTAAAGCTCAGTACTTGGACCATTCATTTTTATGATATATGTTGGGCTCAAAGACCAAAAATGACCACAATGCATTGTGGATGTTTTCAAAAGAACCAGAAATCGAAATTTTGCCTCTTGGGTTTTGCCCAATAAATACAACCTAACCTAACCTAACCTGTAGTAAAAAAAAAAAAAAATCTTTATTTTCGGCACATAACTACAGTGCCAGTAGTGATTATCTCCCCCAAAACACATCTCTATAGCGATATCAACGATGGTGAGTATACATAGAGTACAGTTGGGTCTGCATTTACGCGGTCAATTGAACCCGCGGAGGCCCGCGAGAAACGCGTAAATGAAATAATGGAACGTGGGGAATTAATTAAAATAGAGACTGGGCCGACCCCCAAACTCCACTTTTTGCGACACAATACGTACATTGTAGTAAAACTAGTATCTTAACTTTATGATGGTATGCACACACATAATACAGAAAAGAAATATCAATAATATTAGGTTTTTTAACACTTACGTTAGTAGAAAAGATGGCTGGGCACACGGGCATGGGGGGTTGGTTCCGAGGCAGACGGCAGATTATTGGCCCTCGCCTGTATCACTATCCACCACAGAGGCTTGCAGGGCCTCTTTGTCAAACCCCTCAAAGTCCATATCCTCACTATCACTATCCCTGGCTTGGGCCGACTGTGGTGGGTGAAGAACTCGGTAATGCTTCGATGACTGGACGACCTCGTGCGCACCCTGCCCGCGCCGCTTCCCGCGTAAATGACCAAATTTACCGCGTAATTAAAGAATTTCATTCTGGCAAGGCACCGCGTAAACGACCAAACGCGTAAACCAAACCCGCGTAAATCCAGACTCGACTGTATTTATGTCATGGTCACATTGACTGTTAGTCTGTTTTAACACTAATGATTCTCATTAAACTCTACGACCACAAAACACGAGTGGGTTAGCCGTCCCCGAGAAGACTAGTGTTTTTCGCCGTCGACGCTTCGACTCGCGATCCCTCCCGGTAAGTCCCGCCTTCGAACGCAGTTGTTAATACGTTTTTTCCAATCTCTCCTGACAAGCTCAATCTTGATTAGTCTGTCTAAATCAACTTTAGTAATTCGCCAGACCTTTGTCAACTGAGGGTCATACTTGAATGAGTAACAGTCGAGTTGTTGCACGAGTAGCGATCGCTGGCAACTCGGGGGTATATTACCACGGGGGAGAGGGAGAGAGCGTCCCGTGACGTCCTCTCCCGTTTGTTCCCAGGTATGTAGCGGTGTTTTATAGCCATTCAGTTTGATTCAGTCAATTGTAGTGAATATCAATGTTCATGCTTTAACAGTGGAATTGTCATTCACCCAGTGTAAAAAAGTAATATAAAGTAAATGTCGTCTGACGTTGCGAGACGAAAGATTTGTTTTGTGTTGTCATCGTGCTTCCCAGTCCTGTGACGTCCTCTCCCGTTTGTTCCCAGATTCCAGGGTGGGCTTATTTGAACACCCCATCGGCTGCTGAGCCGGTGGGTAACCAGCAGGGATCAATATATGCATCGGTCGGTGATTCGACATGATTAACTTACTACAGATCAACATCGCGGGGCTGGACCCCAGACGCTCGCCACGTGTCGACCGCGACGGTAGTCGTCAGTTGTTAGAGGCGCCGGTGCTATACCCTGGGACATGCTTTGGAGTTATGGTCCACAATGTGGTTGTATGTGTTTGCTAATAATTATCCCATGTTGGGTAATGGACCCATGTATTTGCTGGTTTCAGTATTAACATGTTGTGTGTTTTGAGTGCATCTCATATGCCCTACCAACAGTTAGTGTGAAATACCATATGTAAGTTGGCCATGTATGTAATGAAATGTATCACCAGTAATGTGGGTGAAGTAAGTACCTACTGGGATTGGCAGTTAAGAGGAGCCAAGGAGTTGTCATGTGTCTATATGTAATGTGAGTAAAGTCAAGGAATTGATCCTTGTAACTGTAACGTAATGTAACACCAGTAAGGTTGTGTGCAGTAAGAGTGTAGGATCTGAGTAACTTGCAGAGGAGTGAAAATAAGTAAATAAGAAATACTCAGTCTGCAATAAGCCCAGGAGTGAGCCTGGTAGTTATATGTTAATGATATATTTTTCCCCACTTTGATTCAATATTAATAAACTTGTTCTTTGAGTATTTTAGGAGTATTCATTTCTCCCACAGCAGTTACCTTTATTTCCGTCCAAGTGACATGATACCAGAATTACAATACCCATGCTACCAAAAAGAACTGAGGTTATGTAGTAACCATGAATTGAGGTAAGTAAAAACAACACTTGAAAGAACTAAGACAAGAAAAGTATGAGTAAGATAAGGGTGGCAGAGCAAGAGAGAGAAACTGCCGCTCTTACAGTGATGACAGTATGTTCAGCCACCCTTACATTTATATTGGATAATCACATATATTTGAGCTGTATTCAAGACTTGCAATAATTTTAGCAACAAAACCTCCCAGATTACCTAGTTGTGATGGGTACCTAGTTTATAGAAGAGGATATGAATGAAAGATTATGAATACTATCTTAACGCCGCAGCAGAAGAGAAAATGAAAGTACTGCATTGTAGTCGCAGGCCAATGTGTTGTCTACACTCCCTAACGCTCCATCAAACAACTTTATCTCTTCTGTTAAACGATCAGGTAAATCCGATAGCAGCTCTTATCTATATAAAAGATAATATAGCAAAGAATAATTATATAATATTCGTATTATTTGGTTGGATATTTTGCCTTAGTTTTTCATACCTAACAGTTGATTTACGTCAATTTTAGTTTACCTTGTAAGAATGAATAATCGGCAGTTTTGTTAATAATTATTACTTTGTATCATTTCTTTTCGGGTTAATACTAATCTAATTGCACTGTGAAGATGGATTTGTATATATTGGAATTGAAATATAAGAAAATATTCACTACGGCTGCGAGTTACTTTGCTCACATAAGTATCCCAAAGTCTGACAGGTAAAGGGTCCACACTTACCCCACCCCCAAGTCGTTTTAGATTATTAATTTATATCACCTGTTTAATTAGTAATTTATATATATGGTGAATTAGTCAAATTTATATTAACTATAAACTGTTAAGTTGGCAGGAAAAGTATATTATATGTAATAATACTTGGAGAGT